CCTGTTCATGCATTCAAACTGAACTTAGTATTGGAAATAGAGTGGTCAAATGTGACTTCCAGGAATTTCCTGAATCCCTGCTCTCATCTGGGTGATTATTGGTTATGTTGCTCACCCATATCAGGGCTATAAGGGGATATGTGGTGTTTTGGGGTGTTTTCTGGGTTTTGTGAAAAATTTGTTTTTTCTGCTTAGGGATAATTGAGTTAATTATAGTATTTTATTCAATTATATCCCCAGGAGAGGGGAGGGTTTGTGCGCATTATCTGGGAGTGTCTAACTGTAGAATACTGTTTTGATTGGTTTTGTGACGTTGTGTCCTGTGCTCCACAAGGTCCACCTGGGTGGTAACCTTGTGGGGACAGCTTTATAAAAGACAATAAACCCTCAGATCTGCTGAGTTCCTGTTTTACCCTCAACATAGAGTCTCGTCTTATGTGTGGTGGAAAAGGCTGCATCTACACTGGGGGATTGCTATACTCTGTATACTCCCCTGGGCCACAATCACTAAGCTCTTTTAATAGTTTGTTCCTGCTACTCTCTCTTGGAGGAGAGGTTCACCCACTGGAACCTGGAGCCTTGTCATAGGTCCAGGGTGGGTAGAGGACGGCGAGACACCATAAACAAGCTGCGGCGGTTCGTGAGATCTGCAGTGCTTATGGTGTCTGGTGCGGTGCTGGTGGTCCTTGGTAAGCACTAAGAGCATCGACTGACGGAGGGTCTGTTACAATAACTCATCATGACCCATCCAGCCCCTCAGCAGGGCGCATTTTCGTCCTTTCTTGGGGTCGCTTCCCTCCTGCACTACCTGGACGATTTCCTGTGTATAGAGCCGGCAGAGTCACACGTCTGTGGCCTGCTGCTGCGGATTCTCAGGGAGGTGTTCCAGTGATTCGGTGTGCCGTTGGCTCATGACAAGGCGGTGGGTCCGGTCACGTGCCTTAGTTTTCTGGGCATTGAAATCTATTTGGTGGCCGGGGAATGTCGGTTGCCCCAAGACAAAGTCTTGGACCTGCGCCTAGCGGTTTCGTGGGCCATGGGGCAGCGTAAGATCCAGCTACACTGCCTGCAATCTCTGCTGGGAAAATTCAATTTTGCCTGTTGGATTTTGCCCATGGGGCGTATCTTTAACAGGCGCTTGGCGGCAGCGACATCTGGGTCAAAATGGTGCTCGGACTCATGGCCGCAGGCCTGGCATATGACAGGACTCACCCGGAACTTGGCGTTTCTGGAGCTCTTCCCTATTCTGGTGGCTTTGGAGGTGTGGAATTCCCTTCTGGAGGACAGACAGGTGTTTTTCCATTGCGACAATTTGGGGGTGATGCAGGCTATTAACCAACTGACTAGTTCTCCCCCCCCCGTGGTACGCTTGCTGCAGCGCTTGGTTCTGCGCTGTTTGGAGCTTAATGTGTATTGTAGGGCTGTACAAATCCCGGGCGTTCGCAATGTGATAGCTGATGCTCTCTCTCATTCACAGTGGGACGTGTTTCGAGCAGTGGCTCCGCAAGCCGAATTGGAGGGTGTCCCGTTCCCAACAGAGATGTGGTCACTAATGGTGTTGGTCCGTTGGTCGGTCTTGGCGGCCACATGGGCCCACTATAACAAGGTTTTGTGGGAAAGGGACGGGTGGGAGCTGTCCTACGGGGCTTCCCAGGACTCAACCACTCGCCTGCAGGGTCTGGTTTTTCTCCTGGGGGGCTGGGAGGCTGCAGGGTTGTCCCCCTCAGCCATTTCTGCATGCTTGGTGGGGCGTCCTGTCTCAGGCACTCTTTTAACTAATCTATGTGAGGCGTTGCACAGGGTTTGCCATTCGGAATTCGAGGTTCGGCTCTTTCGCTTGGCGTTTTCCCTGGCATTCTTTGGTGCCATGTGGATTGGGGAGCTGGTGTGCCCCAGTCGGCAGCAGGTGGGGGGGTACTATTTGGGAACGTTACTTGCGCTGCTGATCAGATCTCATTCAGGATTCAGGAAATGGGTCCGATTGGGGGCTGTGCCGGGTTCCGGCATATGTCCTGTTTGGTCCTTTGGGGAGTATTGTACCTTGCGCCCTTCTCCCGCACTACCCCTCCTGGTGCAGTTTCCTTTCCCATTTCCAGTTTATTAGAGTGTTTCATTTGGGGCTGGAAGCTATGGGAATTTATAGCAGGGAGTTCGGGGGGAATTCATTCAGTATTGGGGCGGCTACTGAGGCCTCTAGACTTGGCATGCCGGCGCAGGTGATTCAGAGAATTGAGAGGTGGGAATCGAGTCGTTATGTTTCTGATGTTCGCCTGGCTGGTTTAGGTTACCTGGGATGTCGTGCCCATCAAGCGTGGATAAGGTCGGCTGGTGGCGGGCATTGGAAAGATATGATTTTATGGCGAGGGGGGAGGTGAGAGGAAGTGGTAATTAGGAACAATGTATGTTTATTGGCAAGGATGGTTGGGTCACTGTATAACACTATGTGTTGAGTTATAAATATATATATATATATATATATATATATATATGTTAATTTATGCATATTTATGTCTAACGTTTTTGGTTACAGAAAAAAGAAGAGAATTAATAAATAAAGTTATGGATGTGCTATGCAGTAATTTATTTTATGTTATAATAAATGCTGTGGCCTGTTTCATTCATACTAAGTTGTCTGTCATTATTGGGAGGGTGAATGGGGTTAGTTTATGTATTATGCTGCATCGAAATTCCCCACTACGTACATACAAGGCGCTAGCCCAAAACAGTTCCAGGGAAATAGGTGTCCTGGATGGTCTCCGTTCATGGGGTTCTAGTGCGAACACCATACAAGGGAATCTCTTATTTTCAGGATACGAAAGCTCCCAGGATGCTCTTCAGGATGCTGTGCTGGGAATTGTGGGAACAGCAAAGGAGCATGAAAAAGAGACATGCTCCTCCTTCCTTCAGTCCTCAGCGCTAGTGACAGGACAGACGTGCCGCCGGACCGGTGAGGCTGCCACCCGGCCCAGCGGCTCCAGCATGGAGCGCGGCAAGCCCACTCAAAGTGTGCCACTGGACCGGCCACCCGGTGGCACCTACGTGCTTAGCCCCCAGATGCCGCAGCCCCGGTGGGTTAGTCCGGCCCTGCCGCCGGGCCCCCCTAATGGGGGCCGTGTCATAGGACAGCACTGAGTGATACTCACTGTATGTCATGGAACATGGATCTTGGAGACAAACGGCAGTAGCGAGATACGGTGCTAGTTGGATGGGGAACAGGACCAGCGCCACCATTAGGCGTACTTGGCATTTTCAAAGGGCGCCAGCCTGCTGGGGATGCACACCGAGATGTTTCCTGGTGGGCTGCCTTCCCCTGTCTGTGGCCACAGCACTGGGTGAGCGTCGGGCCGATCCTCAAGGTGCCCGAAGGTGGGGGTGCTGAGAGGAGCCCTGTCACAGGGGGCCTAGGAGGTGGCCATCTGGCCACCTTTAGGGCACCCCCAAAGCTGATTAATTTTGAAAGGGGAAATTGGACAGCAGGAAGAGTAATTTTAAGGAAAAGGAAATAAAATAAATAAAAATATTGTTAATGTCAACAACAGTGCAACAAAGAACCTAAACTGAGGTTAACTGGCATGAAAAAAAAGTTACTGTGTAGGCTAAATCCACACAGTCGTAGGAAAGCCAACGTAACCAGGGTCCTCTCTGGTATGAGGTAATAAGGGAGTTGTATTAATGTTCTAGTGATGTTGAAATGGCTGATTCTTTGATCTAAGAACAAATGAGAATATTTAACTGATATTAATATATTACCATAATCCCCTATAATTTAGCTGATGAAATAAATGAGTGCATAAAAGTAAACATATGTTACGGCTTGTATAAGTTCTCATTGCCATCCCTGTAAACATGTGGAACTCTGATGACACGTAATGCAGTGCATTCCTATGTTGCTGTGTCATAGAGTACCATGGATACATGACAATTCAGATGCCCCAAGTTTAAGTCAAAGCTGATTTCATTTGTTTAAAGTATATTCCTGACTTTTCAAACCTTTAGATTTTGCTTTGCTGTTTGTTTCTGTTATTCTTGGTGTTATTGTGTCTGTGACCTTTCTATCTGTTCACTATTCTGTAATTACCTACTACACTGAATTCACATTTAATGTTAGGATTTGTAGATTTAATTTAAACTCTGCATGTAAGGGTCACTATAAACCTTGACAAATTGAGGTTGGGGACCATAAGACTGAAATATGTAAGTGGTAAGAAAATTAGATGGAACTTACTGTTCCTATTGTATCTGAACCAGCTGTACAGCCAACACAGGGCTTGACAAATCCCAGGTGCCAGGTCTCCATGGCGCCTTGGAATTTTGCCTTGGCATCTGGGATATGTGAGTCCGTTACCTACCGTGAGTCCGTCAGTAATGGTGTGTGTGTCTGTGTCATGATGTGTGTGTTTAGGTGACCAGACCTTTTCCGTTTGCAAGAGAATGGTGTTTATACTTAACTTTTTTTCCTACGCCGTGCTGGTCTCTCCTCGACTAGCCCTGGTTTTTTGGCTGAGATTATCTAGCTTGATGATCTCAGATAACTCTAAAACCATACATCACATTCACATAAATTACATATTCACAATCAATCCATTCAGAGGAACAACATATTAAAAAATGGCATGAATCAGACCAGGGGTTCAAAAGTTAGTAAAAAGTCCTTTGTGACTAAATGAAGCATGGCTTTCTGGCCCAAACCAGTTTCAGAGTCTTCTATCCTGGAGATAAGTAATTCAATTATCTCCCAGGACAGACACAGACTCCATTAAGCACATGGTTGCAAAAAGACACAAAACACTTCAAAATACATAAAGTCACATTTATTACATAAAACACAGACATGTAACATATCCCCAGATAGCTCAGGTCTGAGCGCACATTATTAAGTGAATGGCGCTCAGACCACACGAATACAGTTTAATCGCCATGGAGCCAAAGTCTTACAGTCAGTTTCATACCTAATGGGCTCCATGGGATTCCTATCTGGGGTATAACATATTCACATGTGCGTCCAAAGGCAAGAGGCAGGCAAGCTGCCCCCTCCAAGGACACGTGGCGAGGCCGGTTTCGCCACATTTCTCCCCTTTACCATCCAAACTAACAGGGTATCTGACCTCCTGCCGGTCAGTGTCCTGGTTAGTCCAGCAACCCACCCACGAAGCACAAACAGCAATACAGCCCACCCACAATAACTGGTTACTACACCTGGATAAAATAGCAACTTGTCCATGTCCAGGTGCCTCACCACAGCTGTGTGGGGGGCTGGTAGACTGCCTTGGTGGGTTGCTGAGTGGGCAGAGACCAGCGGTACTCTGCCCGGGTGCCAGCGCTACCACTGAAGTAGCCTGGTTGGAGCCTGGTTGGGGAAGGGGGAGACCGACTGTCTCCCCTCTGGATACACTGCTCTGTGGCTGGGGGACAGGACCGACCATCCCTGCCCCTGGGGCTGCAAGTGCAGAGACTACGGTCCCATCTGCATAGTTGTGGGGCTTAACATCTCCCCTTGGTGGGTTAGGCTGCCGCTGGAGAGAGGGTGTAACCTGCTCCTCTCCCTGACACTCTCTTTGCTGGTGGAGAGGGGGACCAACTGTCTCCCCTTTCAATATTTTGTCCTGCGGCTGGGGTGCGAGACAGATGGTCTCTGCTTCCTGGGGTACACACTGCCGCTGAGGAGGAAGGACGGCACCTTCATCTCCCTGGGGTACACGCTGCCGCTGGGGAGGGGGGGTAACAAGCTCCTCTCCCATACCTACTGTCAGCCGCTGGGGAGAGGGGATAACAAGCTCCTCTCCCTGACACTCTCTCTGCTGTTGGAGAGGGGGACCAACTGTCTCCCCTTTTAATATATTGCCCTGCTGCTGGGGAGCGAGACCGACTGTCTCCGCTTCCTGCAGGACACACTGCCGCTGGGGAGGAAGGACTGCACCTTCTGCTCCCTGGGGTACACACTGCCGCTGGGGAGAAAGGACTGCACCTTCTGCTCCCTGGGGTACACACTGCCGCTGGAGATCTGGGCCGACCGCCCAGCATCCCTGTAGGGCCGGTAGAGAGACCGCCATCCCATCTCCACCTGCCATCTGTGGGTCTTCCCATGGCCAGTCTATGAGGTCCCCTACTTCTGCCGCTGGTAGTGAAGCAGGGGGTACCTCGGCTGCGTTTTCCCAGCTGTAGGTTGGCAGGTCTGGGTCTCCCAGCCAGTTTTCCTGTCCTGTGTCTATGCCCTGTGGCTGACATGAGTTTAGTAGTTCCACATAGTCCATCTCTAGCTGTCGTTCCATGGCAGCCAAACGGTGGAGGTCTTGTCCCAGTCCCATAGATCTCGGGCCCTGTACCATCTCACCCCGGTAATAAAAAAATAGCCCAGTACCGTGACTCTGCTGGACTGCCAAAGTCGACGTCTTCTGCTAAGGCCTTCCACAACAGGCCAGGGCTAGTGTAGTTCTCCCCCTCCGGCTGGATGCCCTCTGCCCTCCATGTCTCTGGCTGGACAGTGCACCACCACAGTGCCCGGTATGAGGCGTCAAGGTTCAGTTCCCTTTCCACGAGGTACTCAAGTTGTCTGACCTGCTGCCCTCCGGGTTGGTCTCCCAGAAGCGGCATCCGCCAGGCCATTTGTTCCTCCAACCGGTATGCGACACCAGGAAGGCACTGCTGCCGTTGATACTGGACTTCCTCCAGGGCATTGTACCATAGTTCTTGCCGGGCAATATGTCTCCAGTCCAATTCACCCTCTTCCTCAGGTGTGCGAGGTGCCCAAGGATCCACGAACCCCATTTTCCCAAATCTTTATGTAGACAGGGAAGCTGTATAAACACTAGCGTCGCCTTCAATTTGTAAATCCAAACGACTGTGTCTCTGAGCTGCTTTACCTCGCACTAGGACGCCATCCCACCGCTGCCACCAATGTAACGGATCGCCTGGTACCCCGACTGAGTACCTCCGTTAAAGGATGCTCCTAGCGCATCCTGAGGACTCCAAGCACTGCAGCAGACACCACAATCACCGAACCAGAGAAGCGCATACCTTCTCTCAAGCATATGAATGCTGTAGACAGTTGAATAGGAACCATACGAATAGGTTTACTCTCCTAGCAGTCAAACTGGAACAGCATACAATAAATCCTTCCCCCAATAATGAGACGACACTTCACTTTGAGGGTTAAAACAGGAACTCTCTGTACTGTCACATACAGTCTCTTTTATTCCCAATCCACAACCATAGTACAGCCCACAGGGCGTTACAAAACAACCAATCACCTCACAGTTACATCCCACATATTCCCTCCCCTTATCCTGAGAGGAAACTCAATTACACATACAGTTAAAACATACTTTCTACCCAACTTTCATAACTTTAAAACTATACATCACATTCACATAAAAATTACATATTCACAATCAATCCATTCAGGGGAACAACATATTCAAAATGGCACAAATCAGACAAGGGGTTCAAAAGTTAGTAAAAAGTCCTTTGTGACTAAATGAAGCATGGCTTTTTGGCCCAAACCAGTTTCAGAGTCTTCTATCCTGGAGATAAGTAATTCAATTATCTCCCAGGACAGACACAAGACTCCATTAAGCACATGGTTGCAAAAAGACACAAAACACTTTAAAATACATAAAGTCACATTTTGCACATAACACACAGACATTTCACATATCCCCAGATAGCTCAGGTCTGAGCGCACATTATTAAGTGAATGGCGCTCGGACCACACAAATACAGTTTAATCGCCATGGAGGCAAAGTCTTTACAGTCAGTTTCATACGAATGGGCTCCATGGGATTCCTATCTGGGGTATAACACATTCACATAAAGTCTGGTCCATAGTCCAAAGGCAAGAGGCGGGCAAGCAGCCCCCTCCAAGGACACGTGGCGAGGCCGGTTTCGCCACAACTTCTCTTCTCATCAGAGAGGCCACCACAGTTATTTGTATACCTTATTAGCTCAATTTCATCTCTAGGGCAGCCTTCCTGAAAGCTTTTACAGGATCCAACCACTGTAAAATCAATGTATACCGAAAAAGAACTGTTTCTTTAAATTTTGGTGCAATGTCTCTTTAAGGATACGACCGTACACTACTGTGCATGCTCCGCAAGCCGAGAGCAGAAAGAGCCCAGGGAAAGCCATCGAAAACACTCATTTTGGCTCCAAAGCTGCCAGAAACAACATGAAGCCTGATGCAGTAGAATGCACAACAAATTAAGTAATTATTGTAACAGAACTATGATTGTGCCTGTACTTTTGCCTGGACTTAAATAACAACGCTGCTGGATGTGTCAAACAAAAACCGAATGGCTAGTGTTCGTGTAAATATTCCTACTGTAACACACAGCCCAAAATACCGAACATCAAACCACCCAGGGGAACAGTTAATTGATATTTTACCTCCCAGTGATTGTGGAGCCGTTCGCATGGTTCATACGAATTCCTTTGTGCTCAGGTTAGATGGCCGCCATTTCGGGACTTTACACGTGTTCGCGGCCATCTTACGCACGAACGGCGGTGTTTGCCTGTGAACGCATGGAACTAAAAACGGATACGCAAACAGGCGAACACCGCTGAGACCTCCAGGAGCTCGTAAGTTCGTGCTGGAACTACCGAACGACCGGCCGTTCGGTAGTTTTGTTTAAGCATTCATAAGGATTCAAGCGAACACCAGGATGACTGTGGATGGCAAGGGGTTCGTGGGGTTTTAATGCACGAACGGAGATCGACCGCAAGGCCAAAACTTATGGAACTCTTTTCGGCTAGAAAACCTGTGCAGTCGGTCAAAACTTCAAAGATCCATAACTCCCGAACCCCTCAACCGAATGGGCTGAAATTTGGATATATTGTTCCCCTGAGTGAGAGCTATTAAGCGGTGCTGGACTTTAAAGGTGTACCCCCTGTTTTTGGGGTACATCCAGAATGTGGTTAAAATTGTGTCTGTTTTAATTATGTTATATGTTATCTGAGGGGAGGAGACGTGGGGGTTGAACCATGTATGTAATTGGCTGTTGTGATAATTATGTGGGTGTAGCCTTACAGAGGGCACTATTGCATAAAAGGAGACCCCTGTCAATAAACATCAGTTCTACTTGACCCTTCAAAACGTAGCCTCGTCTCGTTCTTGGAGGAGATTTATGGTACCGTTACTCTGCCTCATTTTACAGCACTCCTGGATTATACACTTGGATATCGTGGATGGGAATAAGAACTCCATTGCTGCACAGCACCTTGCCTAGAAAAGGAGTTCTCCAACGGCAGATACCCCTCTATAGCAGGGTAGCCGTTACTTTGGTGGCAGCGGCGGGATGGTCCTTTTCATCCCCAAAGCAAGTGCTGAATAGAATCCCAGTACGCTAAACTGAAAAGACCCACACTAAAGGATCTATTGGAAACCAGAGGAAGGAGTGCCAGCAACCGACCACGGAGAGAGCTGATAGCTGACCTACTGGAGCTGGACGAGATGGATCGATCCATGGAGGTCGCGGACCAACCTAACCCTGTCAGCGAGGAGGAGGAAATTACAAATCTTGTTCAGCGGAGATTATCCATGTACTTGAACTTGATCATGTTGGGATAATAGCACAATTGACTGGCAAGAATTGTGTGCTGCTAACCCCTCACTCCATCACATTTGGTGAGAAATCTATTATCAGCACAGAAATTTATTTGTGAAATAAGGAAGATCTTTCTCTTAAGGAAGATATTCACTATGCTCTGAATGAAAACATATAACCACTGCAAGGTAAACAAGATATCATCACATTGATGACAACACCAGACAAAACAGATTTAATGGAACATAAGCTTACAATAAATAACCAACGTAAAAAAAAAAGGGAGAAGGGTCATGAGCATACGTATGGGCCCCAGTACAAGGGGCTAACAAACCGGATTACAAAATTCGAATTTGCTGTTATTGCCCTCCTGGAGGGGGGAAGAAATTGCCTTCCAGTTTACCCATTTCATTACACATAAAAAAAAAAACTGTGCAGACTAGTGTACAATGCTATATCAAGACCACACACAGCTTCTATCAAGAGCTTATCAAGTAAGATAGAGGTTTTAAAAATTTTCTTTATCAATTAGTTTGTACCAAAGATGATATAGATACAGCATAGTGCAGCACCAACAATCACACAAATGACATTTACAATTCCATTCCCAAAGTTTAGCATTAGTAGACCAGTTGGACTATGCACTGATGTCGTCTGATATCCAGTGTCAAATCACCAGTCAGGAATTATCTGACAGCCCAGCACCTGAGTAGGGAGGCTTTTGACCCTAGTAAATACATGTTCTATGCGAGTGCCTCGAGACCAGTCCGTAAATGTTACTTCACATCTGTTCACACTGGTATGATACAAGTAGGAGGTTCTGGTACTGAATACAGAACATGTGGGGTGAATTGCTATACCATTCAATCCAGACTGCCAAGATTAGGCCATATGTATCCCGGCCCTGAAGACCATGGAGGCTTCCCATAGGTTCCTCCGAGCAAGACGCTGCTAATCAGTGGCTAGGCAGCGGTTCTCCCAAGAAAGGCTCTGATGCTAGCTGGAAAGGATTGACATTCCCAGACCAGGTTCACACCCTTGGAACATTATGTGGAGCACCAGGACAACCATGAGCAGACAGACTCCCTATAGAATCCTTAGTCCAGGGTGGAAAGGAGATTCAGGAGACCATCTGCCACCTCATCGATGAGCATGCACCGTGAGACGTTGTAGGGAGGTCATACAGGCACGTGGAGGACCACACACACTACTGAGCCTCATTTTGACTTGTTTTAAGTGACATTACATCAAAGTTGGATCAATGGCCTGTAGTGGGTGTTTTTCCACTTTAATTTTGAGTGACTCACTCCAATCCAGACCTCCATGGAAACAGCGTTTTCCACCCTGAAACAAATTTGATTTGATTCCGGTTTTGTTGCCCCCGTATGTAACAAAGATTTGTTTCAGATATTTATTTAATTCATTCGACTGGGGGCAGTTTTTTTTTGTTTATTTTTTTTGTAGAAACTATATATATATATATATATATATATATCCCCTTTCATAATAAGTACATTTTGTTCAGGAGAAATAAAGCTTTAATCTGCCATCAAATATTACATATGGAACACAATTTAGTCTGAATAAAATCTAAAAAAGTATAAGAAATTAAGAGAGTTAGGTCTGTGTGAAGGGAGGCATTTTAACTGTGAATGTCATAATGCTTTTAGCTTTTACTGCAATAAAATATAATATACACATATTTGTTTCCAGCAATGTCTCACAAGTACAACAGTAGTCCCATGTACAGGCTTTATGGGGTTTTGGAAAGTTACAGGGTCAAATATATGACTTTCTCCTTTTCAGTTTTTACACATTGAAATTTTCCAGATTGATTTGCTTATTTGTTCATGTTCCCTTTGAGACCTTATAGCAGCCCAAGAAGGAGAATTATCTCCATCATGGCATACTATTTGCGCACGTAATATCAAAATACACTTAGAATTAAATTATATATATATTGTCACCAGGGCCGCCACCAGAAATTTTGGGGCCCCTAACTCAGTTCAGGGTCTGGGCCCCCTGGGGCCCGCCTCCAATTCCGCCCACTGGGTCAGCCTCCAAATCCCGCCCACAGGAATACACACACAGACACTGTGGCGAAACCGACCTCGCCACGTGTCCTTGGAGGGGGCTGCTTGCCCGCCTCTTGCCTTTGGACTATGGACCAGACTTTATGAGAATGTGTTAACCCAGATAGCTATGCCATGGAGCCCATTTGTGTAGTTAAAGACTTCGGCTCCATAGCAATTGAACTGTGTGAATAGGATCTGAGCGCTCTTCAGTAGTTTTGTGCGCTCAGATCCCAGCTATCTGGGGATATGTGAAATGTCTGTGTGTTATGTGAAAAGGTTACTTTATGTATTTTAAAGTGTTTTGTGTCTTTTTGCAACCATGTGCTTAATGGAGTCTTGTGTCTGTCCTGGGAGATAATTGAATTACTTCTCAATTCAATCTCCAGGATAGAAGACTCAAACTGGTTTGGGCCAGAAAGCCATGCTTCATTTAGTCACAAAGGACTTTCCCTTAACTTTTGAACCCCTGGTCTGATTCGTGCCATTTTTTAATATGTTGTTCCCTGAATGGATTGATTATGAAAATGTATGTTTTATGTTTGTGACATGTATAGAGTTATAAATATTGTGTAAAAACTGTATTCCTCTGCCGGTGATAATGAGATTACCCATTGTGTTCAGTACTCATATCACATGCAGAGGGGAGGATTTTGTGTGGGAGTGTCTGGGTGTATTGTACGGATTGATTGGTTGTTTTGTAACGCCCTGTGGGCTGTAATTGGGATGAGACTGTATGTGACAGTACAGGAGTTCCTGTTTTAACCCTCAAAGTGAAGTGTTGTCTCATTATTGGGGGAAGGATTTATTGTATGCTGTTCCAGTTTGACTGCTAGGAGAGCCTATTCATATGGTTCCTATTCAACTGTCTACAGCATTCATATGCTTGAGAGCATTCAGTGCATGCGCTGGCATCCTCAGGAGACGGCTCGTCGGTGGCCGTTACCAGCCCTCGAGGAGCAGCTAGCACAGTGGGCTGCCCAGCACCAGATCTCCCCAGCTGCAGGTGTGAGTCCCACAGACTGGAAGACCCACAGATGGCAGGTGGAGATGGGACGGCGGTCTCTCTACCGGCCCTACAGGGATGCTGGGCCGGCCCAGATCTCCAGCGGCAGTGTGAGTCCCAGGGAGCCGAAGGGGTCATCCTTCCTCCCCAGCGGCAGTGTGTATCCCAGGGAGCAGAAGGTGGCGTCCTTCCTCCCCAGCGGCAGTGTGTACCCCAGGGAGCTGAAGGTGCCGTCCTTCCTCCCCAGCGGCAGTGTGTACCCCAGGGAGCTGAAGGTGCCGTCCTTCCTCCCCAGCGGCAGTGTGTACCCCAGGAAGCAGAGACCATCTGTCTCGCACCCCAGCCGCAGGACAAAATATTGAAAGGGGAGACAGTTGGTCCCCCTCTCCACCAGCAAAGAGAGTGTCAGGGAGAGGAGCAGGTTACCCCCTCTCCCCAGCGGCAGTCTACAGTTCAGAGAGAGGAGCTTGTTACACCCTCTCTCCAGCGGCAGCCTAACCCACCAAGGGGAGATGTTAAGCCCCACAACTATGCAGATGGGACCGTAGTCTCTGCACTTGCAGCACCAGGGGTAGGGACGGTCGGTCCTGTCCCCCAGCCACAGAGCAGTGTATCCAGAGGGGAGACAGTCGGTCTCCCCCTCCCACAACCAGGCTCCAACCAGGCTACTTCAGTGGTAGCGCTGGCACCCGGGCAGAGTACCGCTGGTCTCTGCCCACTCAGCAACCCACCAAGGCAGTCTAACAGCCCCCCGCACAGCCGTGGTGAGGCACCTGGACATGGACAAGTTGCTATTTTATCCAGGTGTAGTAACCAGTTATTGTGGGTGGGCTGTATTGCTGTTTGTGCTTTGTGGGTGGGTTGCTGGACTAACCAGGGCACTGACCGGCAGGAGGTCAGATACCCTGTTAGTCTGGATGGTAAAGGGGAGAAATGTGGCGAAACCGACCTCGCCACGTGTCCTTGGAGGGGGCTGCTTGCCCGCCTCTTGCCTTTGGACTATGGACCAGACTTTATGAGAATGTGTTAACCCAGATAGCTATGCCATGGAGCCCATTTGTGTAATTAAAGACTTCGGCTCCATAGCAATTGAACTGTGTGAATAGGATCTGAGCGCTCTTCAGTAGTTTTGTGCGCTCAGATCCCAGCTATCTGGGGATATGTGAAATGTCTGTGTGTTATGTGAAAAGGTTACTTTATGTATTTTAAAGTGTTTTGTGTCTTTTTGCAACCATGTGCTTAATGGAGTCTTGTGTCTGTCCTGGGAGATAATTGAATTACTTCTCAATTCAATCTCCAGGATAGAAGACTCTGAAACTGGTTTGGGCCAGAAAGCCATGCTTCATTTAGTCACAAAGGACTTTCCCTTAACTTTTGAACCCCTGGTCTGATTCATGCCATTTTTTTAATATGTTGTTCCCTTGAATGGATTGATTATGAAAATGTATGTTTTATGTTTGTGACATGTATAGTTTAGAAGTTATAAATATTGTGTAAAAACTGTATTCCTCTGCCGGTGATAATGAGATTACCCATTGTGTTCAGTACTTATATCACATGCAGAGGGGAGGATTTTGTGTGGGAGTGTCTGGGTGTATTGTACGGATTGATTGGTTGTTTTGTAACGCCCTGTGGGCTGTATTATGTTTGTGGATTGGGAATAAAAGAGACTGTATGTGACAGTACAGGGAGTTCCTGTTTTAACCCTCAAAGTGAAGTGTTGTCTCATTATTGGGGGAAAAATTTATTGTATGCTGTTCCAGTTTGACTGCTAGGAGAGTAAACCTATTCGAATGGTTCCTATCCAACTGTCTACAGCATTCATATGCTTGGGAGAATTTATTTGTTTCTCCGGTTCGGTGATTGTGGTGTCTGCCAGAGTGCTTTGAGTCCTCAGGAAGCGCTAGGAGCATCCTTTAACGGAGGTACCCAGTCGGGGTGCCAGGTGATCCGTTACATTGGTGGCAAGCGGTGGGATGGCGTCCTAGTGCGAGGTAAAGCAGCTCAGAGACACAGTTCGTGTGGAGTTACAAATTGAGGGCAACGCTAGCACACGTGCAGCGCCCCTGGGAGCAGAGGTATCCAGCGACTTGGAGCAGACAAGTATGGAATGCTCTGGCGATGATTGGATGGCCGAGGTGAGGCAGCAAGTGGCCCAGTATGGGGATGATTTACCCATGGAGGTACGCCGGGTGATCTGGAACCAGGTCACAGCCGAGCGAAACACAAGGCTGGCCCGAGAATTCCGGCTGGCGAAAGAGAGAGAGTATGCTCAGCGGAAGGAGTGTTACAGCAGCCGAGTAGAGGCTGCATCCGAGGAGGCTAGCCGCCTCCCCCTGAGGCGGCCGCAGGAACCCGAAGTAGGGGTCCTCATAGACTGGTCCTGTGAGGAACCACAACAGGCAGGTGGAGATGGGACCGGCCCAGATCCCCAGCAGCAGCCGGAGTTGCCAGGTGCGGAAGCAGGTGGTCCTTACTCGCAAATGTTGAGGGACCTCACAGACTGGTCCTGGGAAGACCCACAGATGGCAGGTGGAGATGGGACGGCGGTCTCTCTACCGGCCCTACAGGGATGCTGGGCGGTCGGCCCAGATCTCCAGCGGCAGTGTGAGTCCCAGGGAGCCGAAGGGGTCGTCCTTCCTCCCCAGCTGCAGTGTGTATCCCAGGGAGCAGAAGGTGGCGTCCTTCCTCCCCAGCGGCAGTGTGTACCCCAGGGAGCTGAAGGTGCCGTCCTTCCTCCCCAGTGGCAGTGTGTACCCCAGGAAGCAGAGACCGCCTGTCTCGCATCCCAGCCGCAGGACAAAATATTGAAAGGGGAGACAGTTGGTCCCCCTCTCCACCAGCAAAGAGAGTGTCAGGGAGAGGAGCAGGTTACCCCCTCTCCCCAGCGGCAGTCTACAGTTCAGAGAGAGGAGCTTGTTACACCCTCTCTCCAGCGGCAGCCTAACCCACCAAGGGGAGATGTTAAGCCCCACAACTATGCAGATGGGACTGTAGTCTCTGCACTTGCAGCACCAGGGGTAGGGGCGGTCGGTCCTGTCCCCCAGCCACAGAGCAGTGTATCCAGAGGGGAGACAGTCGGTCTCCCCCTCCCACAACCAGGCTCCAACCAGGCTACTTCAGTGGTAGCACTGGCACCCGGGCAGAGTACCGCTGGTCTCTGCCCACTCAGCAACCCACCAAGGCAGTCTACCAGCCCCCGCACAGCCGTGGTGAGGCACCTGGACATGGACAAGTTGCTATTTTATCCAGGTGTAGTAACCAGTTATTGTGGGTGGGCTGTATTGCTGTTTGTGCTTCGTGGGTGGGTTGTTGGACTAACCAGGGCACTGACCGGCAGGAGGTCAGATACCCTGTTAGTCTGGATGGTAAAGGGGAGAAATGTGGCGAAACCGACCTCGCCACGTGTCCTTGGAGGGGGCTGCTTGCCCGCCTCTTGCCTTTGGACTATGGACCAGACTTTATGAGAATGTGTTAACCCAGATAGCTATGCCATGGAGCCCATTTGTGTAGTTAAAGACTTCGGCTCCATAGCAATTGAACTGTGTGAATAGGATCTGAACGCTCTTCAGTAGTTTTGTGCACTCAGATCCCAGCTATCTGGGGATATGTGAAATGTCTGTGTGTTATGTGAAAAGGTTACTTTATGTATTTTAAAGTGTTTTGTGTCTTTTTGCAACCATGTGCTTAATGGAGTCTTGTGTCTGTCCTGGGAGATAATTGAATTACTTCTCAATTCAATCTCCAGGATAGAAGACTCTGAAACTGGTTTGGGCCGGAAAGCCATGCTTCATTTAGTCACAATGGACTTTCCCTTAACTTTTGAACCCCTGGTCTGATTCGTGCCATTTTTTTATATGTTGTTCCCCTGAATGGATTGATTATGAAAATGTATGCTTTATGTTTGTGACATGTATATTTTAGAAGTTATAAATATTGTGTGAAAACTGTATTCCTCTGCCGGTGATAATGAGATTACCCATTGTGTTCAGTACTTATATCACATGCAGAGGGGAGGATTTTGTGTGGGAGTGTCTGGGTGTATTGTACGGATTGATTGGTTGTTTTGTAACGCCCTGTGGGCTGTATTATGTTTGTGGATTGGGAATAAAAGAGACTGTATGTGACAGTACAGAGAGTTCCTGTTTTAACCCTCAAAGTGAAGTGTTGTCTCATTATTGGGGGAAGGATTTATTGTATGCTGTTCCAGTTTGACTGCTAGGAGAGTAAACCTATTCGTATGCTTCCTATTCAACTGTCTACAGCATTCATATGCTTGGGAGAATTTATTTGTTTCTCCGGTTCGGTGATTGTGGTGTCTGCCAGAGTGCTTTGAGTCCTCAGGAAGCGCTAGGA